CATGCGTTGGATTTGTTAGGCACACCCTGTTTCTTTGTTGTCTGTTGTTGATTCAAATCATACATTTTCCCCTTGTTGTTTAAAGCTGTTTCCCTGATTTTGTTTTGTTTTGGGGTTTGCGTTTTCTAGGTCCAGGAAGTCATGGCACAGTCCAGGGTATGATTAATAGATCATATATCTTTCACAGGACAAGAATAGTCTCTGGTTTCTGATGCCATTGTGGATATGGCTATAGAAAAACCCGCCCCCTTGGCTCATCCATCTGTAGATAGTAGGTTGAGCCAAAGACAAGAAGGGAGAACCAGTGGAGATCATGAAGGTGTCAGAAGGGCATGAGAAAGGGCTGCATTTTCCCTATGGCCTGGAGGTTCAACATCCCTATATTAAATAGTTATTGCCTGCCTTTAGATTTTTAAGTTTATAGACAATATACATAACTTGATATAGGGACGCAGGTTCCTTTTCTTTTTAAATAACTTGATGCGAGCTTTCTCTGCCTGTCTCATTCAATGCACCATGCTCCTTCTGAAGGGAGATTTCAAAGAGATTATAGGTGGATTTACAACTTGGGGGAAAGGGAGGCTGAGTTCTATGGAATGGCAATTTGACATATGTTGGTTTGTTTTAACTTGGCGGAACAAAATAAGCAGTGGTGCATGCTAATGGTATTTTTCAATTCCCTCATCCCAGTTCTACACCTCAGCTAATATCTGGGAATCTGGAAGGATGAAAATGGCCTTTTTCTTTACAAAAAAAGGACTGTGTTTTCAAAATGAAAATCTAAGCCCAATATAATTTCTCTTCTTCTTTTAGGCACACTGCTGTTAACCTTTAAATGCAATCAATCTTTGATGATGCTAAGACTGCTCTGTAGGGATGGTAATTGATTCTCAAACTTGGTCTTGCGGCCTACAGAAAGACTCTGCTGTTCTGAGTTTCACTACGAAGCTGCCTACTGTAATTATGACTGGGGTGTTTCCCATTTCTTCTGTGGGCACCTCATCACAGTTTTGGAGGAACTTGTGCTGTCAAGGATCTGTCTGGAAAGGTGGATAACCGATTTGCAGGAGGTGTTCAGTTCGTAGGGCCACAGGGTTAAAAGTAGTTCGGATTCACAAGCGTGTGAATGCTGCACTGTCAAGTGGGGGCTGTGCATGTCTGAATAAGATTACAGATTGATCCTCATATTAAGGACCAATCCTTTTCCTTAGTTTGCATAATTCACACTTTGTGGAATGGCACACCAATGCTGAAATGCATCCATGCTTCAGGGAGTTCTGTGATGCAGTTCTGCAACCAAAAACTCTCTACATAAACGTGTTTCTTAGGAGAAAGTGTGCATGAATATCCAGGGCCAGGTTCAGCATTCTCTGTTGCATGAGGTTAAAGGTGAAAATAATGTTTGTGCAGTATGAAATCCCATGCAACAGCTGTGCTAGCGGAAGATTGCTGTGCAACCAGTTGTGCAGCAGGAAGTATAGGGGCTGTAGTAATCTGTTGCATAACCAGCCACAAGAACCATGCTTGCTCCCTGTGGCTTTCTCTTGTGTAAACTATTCGGCTAGCACAAGTAATTCCGCAAGTGCAACTTGTACACAGCTAAGGAACTTTAACGTAGTTCTGCACTGAATTCCTTCCACTTACATTTTTGAAAACGATGCATTAAAATTCATTGTGTTAGGGGAAATGGCTTGCAAAAGTGCTCTTTTGGAAGGAAAGGGAGAATACACACACACACACACACAGAGAGAGAGAGAGAGAGAGAGAGAGAGACCATAAACACGCCCCCGTGTATAAGACGATCCCTATTTTGAGGGGCTCCAAATTAAGAAAATGAGGGGAGATTGCTCAGAATTGTCAAGCTTTTTTTGGGGGGGTTGCCCAGAGTTGTTGACCAATCGTCTGACCAATCACTGCCAAAAGCCACCAATTGCCCGCCCAATTGTCACAGTAGTAGCCAATCAACAGCAGCCCTTGCCTCACCCAGAAATCACCCGCATAGTCACCATTGACAATATCCTGCTCGCGGCTGCAACCAATCGCCTGTCGCCCCAATGCATTATCCGTGTATAAGACGAACCCCAATTTTTAACATTTAATTATTATAATAATATTAAAAAAAACCATCGTCTTATACACTGAAAAATATGGTATATATCTTGGCAAAATTGTGAACAAAAATGTGTATATTGAGCACTAGTAATGTGCAGTAGAATGCTGATGATTTTCCATGAGGACTTTAACAAATGTGGGCAACTGCTGAGCTTAAGCCTGGAAAACTGGAAAACCAAGAGAAATCAAAATGGATAGACTTGTCCATTTGTTTCGTACTGCATTGTCTCAGATACAAGCTTTTTCGGTGCAGTCACTTCACACATCCAGCTGCAGAGTGGTGTAGAGGATAGGAATGGTGTTCTCTGCTTCCAAGTGTTGGATGTCATCCACCAACCCAAATAGTAGCTATAAATTTGCATCGAGATGGAGTGAAAGTAGACACTTGGTAGAATACGTGATCCTGCAGCCATTCATGATGCATATAGATGCTCCCATATTAAATAAGAACAGAATCAGAAGCTCCTCATTGTGGCATGTCTGGGTTGGGGACTGGGCTGATCAAGACTGAAGTGGTCTTGGGGTGAAGCTAGTGAGCCACAATAAGTGGACTCACCTCGCCCCAGGTAAGACCTGTGGCAACTCTTAGGTGCTTTCAGGTAAAGATAAAGGGACCCCTGACCATTAGGTCCAGTCGTGACTGACTCTGGGCTTGCGGCGCTCATCTCGCTTTACTGGCTGAGGGAGCTGGCGTACAGCTTCTGGGTCATGTGGCCAGCATGACTAAGCTGCTTCTGGCGAACCAGAGCAGCACATGGAAACGCCGTTTACCTTCCCGCCGGAGTGGTACCTACTTATCTACTTGCACTTTGACATGCTTTTGAACTGCTAGGTTGGCAGGAGCAGGGACCGAGCAACGGGAGCTCACCCCGTCATGGGGATTTGAACTGCCAACCTTCTGATTGGCAAGTCCTAGGCTCTGTGGTTTAACCCACAGCGCATCAGTTAAATGTATATTTTCACCCAGGACTTCAGCTGGTTGTTATTGTTTGAACTTACCCTTCGTGTTTTTCATCTCCTGATTGCATGAGGCGGTTCCGGGTTTTAAATTGTGACTGTCAGCCACTTTGGTAGCAATATGATCTGAAAAGCAGTATATAAATTAGATGGATAAATAAATAATACAAGGTCTCCTCCAAACGTTCAAGTCTGGAAATCAAAGCTGCATACAAAGTGCTGAGCAATCTGAAAGTACCAAGATTGTGCCACACAGCACAAATATATGAACACACTCTTTCCAAGATGGGCCCTTCTTCGAGCAGATGCTTACTGAGGTCTGACTTCTTGAGTTTCCTGATTAATTACTCTCCTCTTTTAGCTTGAGCAGAAGCAGCACCGACTGTCACTTTTGATCTCTTATAAACAGTGAGGCTTCTTGAATATTTCTTTTTGCAAAAAAGAAGGGGAAAAAGGGATTCATTTCCTCACCCGTTGTCTCCCAGTGTGACATTCTACCCCAGCTGACAATTGGATCTCGTGTTATTTTATTAAAATCAAGAGTGCTACAGAATGGCATACTTTTCTCGTCTTCTTTCAGGCTGCAAGTCCTTGAGGAAAGCACAATGCGGTTGAATAACTGATTCAGATGAAGAGGGTCTCTCTCTCTCTCTCTCTCTCTCTCTGTGTGTGTGTGTGTGTGTGTGTGTGTGTATCTCTGCTTCTCATTCTTTACAGCAAGAACTGCACATTTCAGAAATGTACACTATTATTGCCGCCTCCCAAATCTAGGACTGGATGTGGCTTTGATAGGCCTGTGTGTTCTGAGACTCTTCAACATACTTGGATATCACAGGGGAAGGAAAGGACTATAAGGCCAGCGCTGGGTTCAAAGGTGCCTCTGCAAAGGTGGCCCCCTCCTTACGCTGGTGGGCCACAGGTCAACACTTCAAATTTTCCACAGCGCTGCAGACTGATGCTATGTCAGGTTCTTCAGGGAATGATGGGAAATTCAATAAAGCAGGCAGCTCCCAGACTCAGCTGCCATCTGTGGAGAGCAGGGCAGACCATTTTCAGCAGCATCGATCCCTGGTGGGGATCTTGGGCCAGGGAAAATAAAAATGTTAGGAAAACATGCATTGCAAAACTGTATATGAGGCAAAACTGCACACAAAGCTGTTTAGATTTGACGAAATTGACACGAATGTGCTGATAAATCTTCATGAAGGCTTTTTAAAAAGCAAACTGATGTGGAAAACTAGAAAACCTGGGAAGGGTGTGGAACAGGCCTGGTGAGGGGTGTGGCCTGAGGGCCAGGTGGAAAGACTTTGAGGGCCACGTTCAGTTCCTGTGCCTGAAGTTCCCCAGCCAGATTTGGGGGGGGGGTTAGAAATAATAAATTATTATTATAATTTTTATTGAAATGTGTATACATTGCTAAGATGCAAGGGAACTGAAGGCAAGCTGGTTGTTGTTGTTGTTTAGTCATTTAGTCGTGTCTGACTCTTCGTGACCCCATGGACCAGAGCACGCCAGGCACTTCTGTCTTCCACTGGAGTAAGGAATGAGATTGAATTTATGGAATGATATTCATTCCCTTTTGTGCATGAGCCCCATTGCTTGTTTAGCCAAAATGGCATGACCCGTGCCCGTAAGCAAGATATCTGACAGATGAGGTGCCCAATGAGGTGTGAGAGTTGGTCAGTAGCCAAAGAATAATTGCTGGTTTTTGCCGGGGAAGGAGTGCTTGAGAGGAATAGAAAACTGGAGGAAAGAAGGAATAGAACTGTTATGGAACCGAGTGGCAATCTGCTCATCCCTCTTTGTAACATTTGCAGACCCTCGCGCCTCTCATCCAGTTCTGCTACCATCCCTGCAATGTCCTTGAAAAGGAGTCTCCAGGTAGCACCAATTAACCTTATTCTTCATCTTGCCATCCCTCCCCTCCCCAGCTCCAGCATCACGATAAAGAGGCGGAGGATTCCCCCAGCAAGTGGAGATCTGACGATGAAATGGCCGTGGAAGCAGCAAGCCTCGAGAAGTATTTTAAGTGAAAACATGAGGTAATTATCCGGCCGAGGGCTGGTGTAAACCTTTTGTTTATACAGCACCTTACATATCCTAGAATTATAAGGTTGCGGTCCCTAGAATTCTGCAGGTGTGAGATGCTGTAATGAGACAGCAGCTTACATGATTTTGACTCTCTTGCCTTGGCCTTTCCCCCAATCCCCCTCATATACAGTAAGGTATGGAAGATGGAAATAGATGTGTTATGCAGCCTGCCTGTTCCCCTTCAACTAGCCTGCTGCCCTCAGGGGTTATGGAGGAGGCCTACTGATCAGCAGTGTTGAGTGCTAGCCTGGCTGGTTCTGTACATGAAACTGTCCTTTGCCTCAGGCAGCAAAATGTCTTGGGTCTGGCCCTGTGTGAGATACTGCACCTCTCCGTCCCCAGGCTTTCTGCCATGACAGAACACGCCAACCCCTGCGCTGTGATAACATCACACCCTGTGACTTCGAGTTTTTGTCGTAGGGATGTTGCTCTGGCATCACTGCCACCGCGCCAGCTTTCGTTTAATGGGTTTCCCATCTGTGAAATCTTCATTCTGATTCCCACTTTCAGAACAGAGCCGCTGCAAAGCTCCGCGCTCTGCTCCGGAAAAGAATGACATTTTAAAAGGCAAGGCTGTTCGTCAGTAAGGCCTCTGAAAAGTGCATCGCTTTCATGTCCTTCCTTTGGACCCAAAGGGCAGACTATCCTATAGAAACGGATTGGCCCCCTGAGACCAGTCTGTGATGCAGCGAGATGGACAGAGACATGATGACAGCCGGGCTGTTCTTTCATTTCTCTGGCACTTTTCAAGACATTTCATATTTCTTCTTCAAGGAAGCCCCAGAAGAGGGGGTGATAAATGTATCACCAGGGTGGTTTCGTTTTTGACAGTCCAATTTAGGAGGATCCTCTGGCTAAATTTCACGAGCCATTTACCTGTTTTGCTGCAGAGACCAGAACATCGGCAGCATGTCCTGAGCCGTTTGGTACTCTTCAGGTTGTTGAACCCTCTTCATTAGACTCTTCTTTGAGCTCTGTTGCTCCCTCTCTCATAATGTACGCACTATCCAGTGGAAGATGCCAGGGTGGTCCAAAGGTTATTGTCCCTTGAGGGTAGACTGCTGGACCCCTCAAACTCCAGCTGCAACATGCATGCTTCCAGCATGATCTCAGTGCTCTGGTTCCGGCAGTTCCCATCCCTCGTGGCTAATTAAATATAGCCACTGGGGTACCCTTTATCAAGAGAGACGAGAGTCAAGGGGAGTACAACCTTGCACCTTCTGCTCCGTCTCTCGGCGGTTTCAAAAGTCAACAGCCATGGTGTCCTTCTGGATCAGATCTGTGGGATGGGTACTGAAGACAGTCGTTCCTTTCCTGCCTCCAGAGTTGGTGCCAAAGAGTAGCACGGGGGGGGGTGTTCTTTGACCCCCCTAGCAATTTTGCTATTGGCTTCCTCAGGTCACATTATTATTATTATTATTATTATTATTATTATTATTATTTCTCAGGTTGCAGTGAATTCCGATCCCCCCTCCCCTCTCACAGCAGACAGCCAAGGAAGTAGACAAGGAATCTCTTACTGAGTCTTTATTCAATAATCACAATGAGAGGTCTCTGTATGCTGCCTACTAGGTTAATGGCCTTGCTCCAACGGAGCTCCTCCCACTCCCTTCCTAGCAAAAGCACTTCCTTTTACGGCGGCTGCCAGAGGCTAATTGTCTTTGAGTCCTTTGCTCTTCCACTTTCATTGCACGCCGGGTTCTGGGAGAAGGGGGTGGAGTCAGTGGTAACGTCTCAGCTGGCTGCTCTGTCTCTGTCTCCCCCTTCTCCTCTCCCAACACCTCCCAACTCTTCTGTTCACCTGTCTCTGAGCTGTGACCTTCCTCAAACCACTGCTGTAATTCAATACTGCCTTCCTCTTACCTGGAAAGTTCAGGAGGGGAGGTCGGTCTCCACCATTCCTCTTCAGTCTCATCCCCCTCAGTCCAGTCCCTGACATCATCATCATCATCATTATCATTTATACCCCGCCTTTTTCCTCCAATGAGCTCAAGGTAGTGTACATGATTCTCCTCCTCATTTAATCCCCACCACAGCACTGTGAGGTAGGTTGGGTTGAGAGACAGTGAGCGTTTCAGTCCATCTCTTTCAATAAACACCACTAGCAATGGGCTATAGTACATCACTATAAAATTCAGAATCAGCGTTGGCACAAATTGCACATGCAGGGCTTTACAGAGAGGGGGGAAAAATGGGAGAATTAAGTGCTTCTTTATTATATTCAAATGACTACCCCCCTCCCCCGTTGCTCATATTAATGGGAAAGAAAGCAATCTACAGTTCCTCAAGACCTTCTTGACCTGGAAGGCTTTGTAAGTGCTGGCGCTTGAATGTGTTAATGGGAGGAAAGAGAAATTGCAATTGAGAGAAGGTTTGGGGGAGATATATATATATATATATATATATATATATATATAATTACAATGTGATTTCTCATTTTGTGATCCCATTGTTCACAGCGAAAGCTTGTTAAATAAGTGGCACAATTGGCCGGCTAATCTGGCCCTGTTGAGCTGACCCTGTAAGGCCAATAATTGTATGGAAGATAACTTGCTCTGAGTCAGCGTCAGAACTGCATGACAGGAACGTTGCAAATCATCAATGAAAGATGGATACCTAGCAGATTAAGTTGGAGAGTGGGGGGAGCTATTGCTTTGGGAGCAACAAATAAGTCTTTTTCCTGCTTTCTGACATTACTCAGCTGGTTGGCTACTGTGAGAACAGGATGCTGGAATAGATGGGCAATAATAATAATAATAATAATAATAATAATAATAATAATAATAATTTCTTATTTATACCCTGCCCATCTGGCTGGGCTACCCCAGCCCCTCTGGGTGATGCGCAGCGTAAATTAATAATGCAGAGCTCTTAATTGAATAAAAGCTTTACTGAGTTAAAATAAACTTCTTCATAAACAACATGGTTCCAAACAGTTTGACTGAGATTGCATACTGACTCTGTTCACAACTGAAACAGACAGACTCTCACATCTTACAGAGAGCACAAAGAGAAACTGGCTGCTAAGACACATGTCAGAGTGACTCAACAGTAAGCAGGCCTGAATAACTTTAGTAAGCCCAAATGACTGTCTTTGTCACATGACACTGGGTGGCTTCCAACAAAATTGGCATGATCCAGCAGGCAATGCCTGACACTCAACTTTATCTTTTAAAGAAAAATGTTGCATCAAGCTTGGAAGCTTTGCTATTGTACAGTACTTCACACATGTGTGTGCACTCACAGGGCTAGATGAGCTTGTCTATGCTTGCAGGAGACAAAAGATTAAACAATAGTTAAGACGTTAAAAGGGTATACCAAGGGAGTTTAAGTTTGGGACCCTAGTGATGTCACAGATACTATCCAATAGGTAGCTGCGACACTGGTAGTATATGCAACATTCAAACATGCTTGGGGAGGGGGAGGAGGACTGAGTTTTCATTTCCTGAATACTTGGTAATGGATCTTCAAATTTCCTGGCAGCAGAAATGTTACTTTGAGAAAAAAGAACTCTGTTTCAGCTGCCCATCTTTTGCTCACACTGCTACCCAGATCCCATTAGCTGCTGCTTTAGCAACTGGGGTTTAGGGGATCAGGCTGTAAGATACGTAGGACTTAAGGCATTTAAAACTTGGTTGCAAGCCAGCTGCTGCCACCTAGTTCCCATCCGGCCAAAATGTGCAGCTATTATATTTATGATGCATTAAGCCATAAGGCGGCATGTAATTGCCAGCGCTGGCACTTCTGTTGTGCAAACTGATGTGTAAGGTAAGCTCGCATGAGAGGGTCATTTAGAAGGCAGCAGTTAACAGGCCACATTTACAGCTGCAGACCACTTTTCAGATGTGTGCAGATTCCTGGCATTGTGGGAATCGGGCGTCTCATTAGCAAGATAAACGTTTTGATGTTCTCATGTTCCTGCAGTTTTTTAATAAAAACACACACACACACAGAAATTTCTCTCTGATCTGTCAGGGCACTTTATAGAGCCAAAAGGTTCATTCCACTCGAGCAGCAGACACCCGCTGACACAATGGAACTTCCTGTTCCCTGCAGCCGTCCAGACGGTTGGGGGAATCATCCAAAGTATATTTGCAGGGGCAGGCATGTGGGGAGAGGAGATGCACATGCACTGAACTCCAATTGTGCCACATTAGACTCAAGCCTTTGAATGGATTGGTTCAATGTAGCCCATGTGAATAGTGTCAGGAGTTCAGCCTACACTTGAGTAGGACCCTGGCAGAGAAACGTGCCCGACTGGCATGTTCTCTCCATCCTGGTCTTTCATTTGGGAGCTTCATAAGCTTTCTTCAGCCCGAACATCACAGCGACCGATGCCAACCGACACCGGCACACTTAGGGATCCACAGAGTTTGTGCATCTTGCGTGACAGACCTCAGCAACTCAGCATTTTGGCTAATCTATTTTATTTACATATAAACACACACGGAGCACTGCAACATGGCTCCCTCTCTCTCTAGCATCAGACAGCAAAGAGAAAAAGAACAAAGGACAATAGTCCCACTTCACGGAACACAGTAACACAAACATCCTGTCTCCGTCACTTCCTACTCTGTGGAGTCAAAACATATACCGTCATGTGAAAGACAACAATCCCATGACTGCAGTCATAGATCAGGAATTCTAACAAATAGGTGGTGTTCCCCTAACTTCTTAAATTCAGCTTCCAGAGCTTTTCCAGGTGTGTCTACCTTGGGAAAGATGCTTGACTGTTACCTTTCACACATGCACGTGCTCCTGGGATGGTTGGCACCATATGTCCCTGATTTGAAGGATAATGCCATAGAGGACCTTGGGAGCATCGTCATCGCGTGCCAGAGCCGCAAAGGGCCTCTCTCTTGCTAGATGCAATCGATCTGCGAGATCCGGCTGCGACTGCACTCAGGAACTGTTTGCATATAATCCTTGCACAAATACGCATTTTGGTAATCAGCTGTGGATTTTGACACACTCCAAGCCTTAAGTGCTATTCATTATATCACCCACTCAGCCAGCCGTAAGAACCATTAATTATGAAGCAGCAACAGCGGCAGCTGACTCCTGCGTGGATCTCCTCCGTTGCGAGAGATGAGAAAGCAAATCTGCTCGCTCCAGAAGAAATATGTTTTCTGAAGGTCACCTTAATAAACAAAACTGAACAAGAACCACATCTGTCAGTAGCACAGAACAGAGACAAAGCGTTTTCTTCCCGTAAGCAGTTTTAATGATGGACTTTTTAAAAATATTTTTTTTAAAAAAAACCAGTATGGAAAGCGGAGAGTGGAAAACAGCTCTGCATCACATTTCAGGACTAGGTTTCTTCTTTCAAATGAGTTTTCTCACAGTAGTAAGAAACAAGTAAATAAGGAGTAATATTTTCCCGCCCCCTCGTTTTCAAGTGAATTCCAGGGAAATATATTGGCAGAAGGTTTGTAGACAAACAGAACCTGGCGGTGATGAGTGCTATTTGAAATCTAAAAAACTCTACAAGGAACATGCTGAAAGTGAGGGGGTGGGTGGAAAGGAAGGTTGGGATGAGTGGGTGGGAAAATCCATATCTCAAGCAGAAAATATAAGCATGTAAGAGAGAAATGCAATTACTTTATCCAGATAATAATAATAATAAATTCTGTTATGTGTATGGGAACTCTGTTCCCCATAGGACTGGGAAGCATTAATATCTGTCACGCTTAGTGCTCTGCCGTGGTGTCTCTGAGTAAAATCCCACCTTCCCACTTTCCCCTCCCAAATCCAGCTCAACGAACATGCAATAACATTAGCTACACAGGAGCACACAATTGTTCAATGGAGAGCTTCCAAACATGACAATCAAACTGTACCTTTCTTCTTATATCTCTGGCATTGCATCTATCTATCTATCTATCTATCTATCTATCTATCATCTATCATCTATCTATCTATCATCTATCTATCTATCATCTATCTATCTATCATCTATCTATCTATCATCTATCTATCTATCTATCTATCTATCTATCTATCTATAGGTTTGATCTTCTTAGAGTCCCATGGACTGCAAAAAGATCAAACCTATCCATTCTGAAGGGAATCAGTCCTGAGTGCTCACTGGAAGGACAGATCATGAAGCTGAGGCTCCAATACTTTGGCCACCTCATGAGAAGAGAAGACTCCCTGGAAAAGACCCTGATGTTGGGAAAGATGGAGGGCACAAGGAGAAGGGGACGACAGAGGACGAGATGGTTGGACAGTGTTCTCGAAGCTACCAACATGACTTTGACCAAACTGCGGGAGGCAGTGGAAGACAGAAGTGCCTGGCATGCTCTGGTCCATGGGGTCACAAAGAGTCGGACACGACTAAATGACTAAACAACAACAAATAGATATAGATATACCAACTGGCCCAAATGTAAGCTGCACCCGCAAATAAGCCACACCTTTAAAATTCGGGGGGGGGGGAGAGAATACCCGAATATAAGCTGCTCCCTTAAAATTGGGCTACAGGCTGAAAATCACTGCAGTCGGTAGAATTGTAACTCCCAGCCAATTTAAGCCTTTGATCTTGTAAGCCTGCCAAAGTTACCGTACAATCGCTAAAATCGCAAATCGCTATTCAATTGCTACAATTCCGCAGGCACTCAAGCTCGCAGATTGGCAAGAAAACATTTTTTTGTTCCATTTTACCATGTGTCTGTTTCAGCAGCGATATTGTAAAAGCCAGTTTTTGTAAGGTTGTGAATTTGAGCCGCACCTTAACTTTTCACGGTTGGAATTTGGGGGGGAAAGTGCAGCTTATATTCAGGCCAGTATGGTATAAGGTAAAGAACGCATGCTCCAGGAAGCCCAACACATCAAATCCGATCCTTCCACAACCACATTGCAGACAGACACATTGGCATAAAAGGTAAAAAAAGAATAAGAAAGGTAAAGGACCCCTGGACGGTTAAGTCCAGTCAAAGGAGACTATGAGGTGTGGTGCTCATCTCGCTTTTCAGGCCAAGGGAGCTGGCATTTGTCCACAGACAGCTTTCCGGGTCATGTGGCCAACATGACTAAACCGCTTCTGGCACAATGGAACACCGTGACGAGTGCCAGAGGGCACAGAAATGCCATTTACCTTCCCACTGCAGTGGTACCTATTTATCTACTTGTGCTTGTGTGCTTTTGAACTGCTACATTGGCAGAAGCTGTGACAGAGCAACGGGAGCTCACCCCGTCATGCAGATTCAAACCACCAACCTTCCAATTGGCAAGCCCAAGAGACTCAGTGGTTTAGACCACAGCACCACGCGCTCCCTATTATATAGATATATATAGATAACAATCAAGGAGGGTGAAAAGCAAGGCTGGGGTGTGGCTGGAGAGTGTGTTGGAGTCCTGAGGGCCACTTTGAGAGGCTTGGAGGGCCGCATTTAGCCTACAGGCCTGACATTCCACACCCCTTTAGCATACATTCAGGTCCCACAATGCTTTCTATTGGAACCATTTGTTAGGCAAACGTTCACATCACAAATCTATGATTTCCACTGTTTCCTATGGAAATATTTCTGGTGCTGGATTGGCCAGATCTCTCTCCATAGAAAGAAGAAACCAATCAGCAAAAGAGAGACAAAGGGGGGCGGGGACAGATTTGACTGCTCTATCCTGCTCTCTGTTTCATCCAATCTTGCCACTCTCTCTATGGTTTCTTCCTGAAAATGGCTGCAGCCGATCAGCAAAACATAAACAAACAAGGAAGTAAGGAAGCCAACTGTTGGGATATCTGAATCTGCAAAGCTTCTAGCAAGGTCTGGGCATAATTCTTTACATGCAGATAAGTGAATTTTCAGATAGCGAGTGGGCAGGCAGTGGGACCCGCTTGTATATTCGAAAGAGCTGATGGGGTTGCAGTAACCGAGTTACCTGTTTTCTGCAAGGATGAAACAGCAAGTGGTAATATCATAACTATTGCATGATGGAAAGCCAAGCTGCCTAACAATCCCAAAAACAAACCCTTGTGTTGCAATGAGAACCAATCACAGAAATATAGACACAACACGTGGGCTAATAACTGTTAAAGCATATATAATAGAATAATGATATCATTCAAAAAAGAGAAATAAATCTATTAGAGTTCATATATACAATGTAACAGACTAGTGGTGCAGAATGTCAAGCCATGGTTCAAGATAGGCTTCAAAGGTCAGTCTCACAATGGTTATTCAAAGGTTTCAACAGAAGACGTCTCAAAAGTCTCAAAAGTAAAGTTTTCTCAAGTTTCAATGGAATCAAAAGTTTCAACAATCCCAGGCAGATTCTCAGAGGCTGCTGCCACTGCCAGCGCTGGCCACTCTGCCATGTAGTTATCCTGAGAAAGAAAGGGAAACTGTGGCTCTCTGAATGTTGTTGAACACCCATCAGTCCCAGCCAGCATGGCCAATGCTCAGTCCAACAGTATCTGGAGGGTCACAGGTTCCTTGAAGACTGCCTGAGCATCAAGAACCATCACCAACACAGTACAGGCATAATCTATGTGTAGCAGATACTGCTAGTCTGACTTCCTGATATGCATGATGTTATCCCTCACACCTGGCCACCCACCCTTCAAAGGGGCACTTGTGCACAATGGGACCCTTGAGTGCATGGGACACCTACACACATTCAGCTACTCACATGTAGGTTGGGATGCCAGTGGACTACAACTTTGGGGGTGGACAAGAGGCATGTCTGCACTCCACATTAACCTGCTATGCATACTGTAGATGTGGCTCTCATTTCTTCGCCCTGCCGATTTCTTTTTCTCCTTCACAATCATGATTCTCTCTTGGATAAATGCTAATGAGAGCTAGCTGATTGCTTAATCTCATAGCTTTTGCCTTGCTCACGTAGGGCACAAAACGTTGCTGCATTTGACAAAACATCTTATTTTTATGTCTAATCAGGCAACAAAGCACCTTTGGCGAAGTCTGGCTGGGGCAGAAGACAATGGAGGAAACCAGAGGCCCTCCCTGCAAACCACCAATCTTTCCTGGACCTAAAGCTCAAGAGATGTCAATATATTCTGCAGAGATGCTGGATTCTTCCACAGGATGCTTTATGAACCTCACCAAAGGGTTGTTTCGGCAAAGATGCTTGATAGTTTGCATATCGCACAGAATGTATTGAAGCTGTTGCTTTAATTTTCTATGAAAATAAAAACAAATAAAGCATTAATAAAATAAATAGTTTCTCTGGTTGTTTTTTTTTAAAAAGATATCTTTTTATTAGGTATTGTGAAGTTGTGGCCCTCCAGGTACTCTTAAGTCTCCAGCTCTGATCACCTATAAGCATTGGACATACTGGCTTGGATTGATAGGAGTTGAAATCCAACAGTACCTGGAAGTCCAAAAGCAAGCCATGCCTGCCCTAGCAGGAGGCTCTGCTGAGTTCTGATCCAGCAGCAAAGGGAGCCCTCCCATTTGTAGAAGGGGCCGTCTGGACATTTGGAGACAATGCAGTTTTAGACTTATAGTGGTACCTCGGGTTAAGTACTTAATTCGTTCCGGAGGTCCGTTCTTAACCTGAAACTGTTCTTAACCTGAAGCACCACTTTAGCTAATGGGGCCTCCTGCTGCTGCCACGCCACCAGAGCACAATTTCTGTTCTCATCCTGAAGCAAAGTTCTTAACCCAATGTACTATTTCTGGGTTAGCGGAGTCTGTAACCTGAAGCGTATGTAACCTGAAGTGTATGCAACCCGAGGTACCACTGTATTTATTTTTCTACAAAATGAAAAATAAGATTTGATATCAAAGATGAGACAGAGATCGCACAACAATGGGCGTATTCGAACAGCTTTTTCCAACTGTAAATTTCCTCACCCTTCCCTCTACTTTCCCCCCCTCTTCCCAGTGAAGTAAACAAATAAAAAAAGAACATTCTGAGGGTGTCTGCAAATGTGAAGAAGAAGAAGAAACAACAACAGAAAAGGCAGAGGGCAGCAGAGGCAGAGCAGGGACGCTTTGGGAGACTGAAAGCCTTAAGAGCCCACAGCAAAACAAACACATGAGAGTGTGGATCTTTGTTTCTGAATATTTATATTAAGTGCGGAATATCTATTGAAAGAAATCCACAGCCGTGCCGTCGGGATTGTTGAAAGCTGATGACTTCTACTTCAAATAGACTCTGGGAGCTGGGAGCCTCCCCTGCATTCGATAACTGAACGGCGAAATATGGAAAACTCTCGAGCGTAAGTTCTTGAACTTTTGTCACAGTGAAACTTGCGTCTTAAGAGCAAATAACTGGCTGCGTCTCTCTCACTGTCTCCGAACTAGCGAGCAAGGCAGGAGGATGGCTTTGTGAGAGGCTTTCCCTCTCCCACTCAAAAGCTGGCAGGCAGATCATAGGGAAAGAAAAGGAGACGGGTGACAGAAAACAGAAACCCAGGTAAATTTGGTTATCATAGAATCATGGAATTGTCGGATCTTGTAGTCCAACCCCCCTGTAATGCAGGAATATGTAGCTGTCTCATATGGGGATTGAACCTGCAACCTTGGTGTTATCAGCTCCATCTCCATGTGGTTGATAAAGAATTGGCCAGACGTCACCCAACCTTTTGTTGTCTCAGTTATTTCACAGCTGGACCATAAAGAAGGCTGATCGCCGAAGAATTGATGCTTTTGAATTCTGGTGCTGGAGGAGACTCAAGAGTCCCATGGACTGCAAGAAGATCAAACCTCTCCATTCTGAAGGAAATCCGCCCTGAGTGCTCGCTGGAAGGACAGATCGTGAAGCTGAGGCTCCAGTACTTTGGCCACCTCATGAGAAGAGAAGACTCCCTGGAAAAGATCCTGATGTTGGGAAAGATGGAGGGCACAAGGAGAAGGGGGCGACAGAGGACGAGGTGGTTGGATAGTGTTCTCAAAGCTACCAACATGAGTTTGACCAAACTGCGGGAGGCAGTGGAAGACAGGAGTGCCTGGCGTCCTCTGGTCCATGGGGTCACGAAGAGTCGGACACAACTAAACGACTAAACAACAACACAGGGCCACAAGTTGCTCCTGCCTGGACAACCAAGGCCAGAATCACAGTGGCCATACTATCCCCATCCAGGGATGATGGCAGTTCTTTTAGCAGACATAGTCTGTAGCAGGAGGTCCTAGCCACGAAGACCACCAGGGCCTCTAGTGACAAAGATGGATCCGGGAGGACCCCTCTTGGGTTGCCACGCTACCAATAATGGAAATGATAGTATAGAGCTAGGGAGATAAAAACAAGCATCTCAAAGAGGTGGGGAGGAGATTGCGAAATGGCATTCACTTTGGGAACAATTAGCGTGCTGTTTGCAGCTCCCCAAAGCAAAGTTGGCCAGAACAAAACCGAGAAGGCGCCTCCTTTGAAGTCGCACGCAAGGGCCAGAGACGAGCGAAGAACAGAAGCCGTAGCTTCTGAGTGCCCAGCCGTGATCAGCTCTTCCTCAAAGCAAGAGCTCTTGTGAACTCGGTTGTCACTTCTCCGCTTTGAACATTAATTTGGGAACAAAAGCTCCGCGTTCGCCGATTGCGCTCGTTGGAAAGAGGAGGCTCACGCTGGGGGGACGTGCAGCAGACACCACTTGGCAGATTTGCAGAATCTTGTATAAAGACAAAGAAGCCTCCAACATGGCAACGCTCCAGATCCCCCATCCATCAAGCCGGGCATGCCTTTGAGCTGCTTGGGGTAGTTAACGGGCTTCCTGCGGAGAAGCAGAAGGAGGCGCAGGGGAGGGAAAGACCACGTCTCTTAATCAAGGGCAATGCAGAGTCATTTCAAGTGAATTCAAAAATCACCCCCTCTTTGCAATTTCTCTGCTCTCCATTGAGAGCACCCTGCTGCTATAAATACAGGACTGTCACGGCACACACTGAAGTTTTCTTCCACGTTTCCAGAGCTGGGCTGCCTGGACAAGAAATGCAAGTAGTGAACTGGAGCAGCAGCATTTTTAAGGTCAACCAATGAAGCAGCAGAGGAATTTAGAGGTGAACTGCAGGGTTCTTTTCATTGCCACAAAGGGCTCAGTAAGGATGGAGGGATTGCTCTGTTTGCAGCCCATGTCGTCCTAGCCTGGTGTTTGCATTCCCAAGTCCATTCTATTTCCACATCTTAGAACCACATTTTAATTTATGTGTACAATGGTGAGTGGTTGGAGGATCATAGAATTATAGAATTGTAGAGTTGGAAGGGACCCCATGGGCCATCTCGTCCAACCCCTTCCAATGCAGGAATCTCAACTAGATCATGCATGGCAGATGGCCATCCAAACGCTGCTTTAAAAACTCCAAGGAAAGAGTGTCCACCGCATCTAGTGGGAATCTGTACCACTGTCTAACAACTCTTACTGTCAGAAAGTACTTAATGATGTTTAGCTGGAATCTCCTTGAAACTTGAAGCCATTGCCTCAAGTCCTACTCTCCAGAGAATGAGAAAACAAGTACGTTCCCTCCTCGAAGTGACAGCCCTTAAGATATTTGAAGGTGGCTATCATGTCTCCTCTCAATCTCCTCTTTCCAGGCTAAACATACTTAGCTCCTTCAACCATTCCTCATAAGGCTTGGTTTCCAGACCCTTGGATCATCTTGGTTGCCCTCCTCTGCACGTGTTCCAGCTTGTCAACATCCTTCTTAAATTGTGGTGCTCAGAATTGGACACAGTATTCCAGGTGTGGTCTGACCAAGGCAGAATACAGTGGGTCTATTACTTCCCTTGATCTGGACACTATACTTCTGTTGATGCAGCCTAGAATCTGAGATTGTTATTATTTTTTAAGTAGGAAAAGTTACATTAAATACATATTGTCAGATGTGGTCATTGCAAAAACAACTGCTTAGGAATTGGTGCCTGAAAAACTTCAGCATTTGGGGCTTATGAGTTTAGAGACAAGGCAGGTAAGAAGCAACATGATAAAGTTGTGCATGGCATGGAGGAGGTGGATAGAGAAAGGTTTTCACCCCTCTGTCATAACACTAGGACTCATGGACATCCAATGAAGCTGAATGTTGGAAGATTCAGGACAGATAAAATAAAGTACTTCTCACACAGCACAGTTAAACTCTGGAACTGTGGAGCCAGTGTGGTGTAGTGGTTAAGAGCAGTGGACTCGTAATCTGGTGAACTGGGTTCGATTCCCTGCTCCACATGCAGCTGCTGGATGACCTTAGGCTAGTCCCACTTCTTTGAAGTCTCTCAGCCCCACTCACCTCACAGAGTGTTTGTTGTGAGGGAGGAAGGGAAAGGAGATGGTTAGCTGCTTTGAGACTCCTTAGGGTAGTGATAAAGTGGGATATCAAATGCAAACTCCACCCTGGAACTCACTCCCACAGGCGGTAGTGATGGCCACCAACTTGCTTGGCTTTAAAAGAGGATTGGACAGATTCATGACGGATAAAGCTGGCAATGGATACTAGTTGCAATAGCTACTGTATGTTCTACCCCCACTGCACAGTTGGATTTGTGTCCTGCTTACGGGCTTCCCACAGGCTTCTGGCTGGTCACTGTGAGGAAAAGATGCTGGACTAAATGGACCATTGGCCTCATCCAGTGAGCTCTTATTATGTTCTTATGCATTTCCAAATATATTAGGAATTTTAAATACACGTTGATACATTTTTTTGAGGTGAAAACTGTGGGATGACCAGCCTCATATAACCAGCATGCTTAAGTGCAATCAATGCACAAAAGGGTTAAGACCATAGAGTAAGCTGTCCTGCTTAGCCATTCACCTTGGGAAGGACTAGGTAATACAAGCCTTTGCCCGCCCCCCATCTAGCTGAGAAGCTGAGCATGTGAGGAGGTCTGAGCTGCTTGCTGTAGCTCAGACCGCATGGCTGTAACAAGCCTCTCTTGAGTTCCCATGACAATAATTTAAAAACTTTCACCACTCTAACTAAGCCAAGTTTTATTGCCTGTGCAATCTCTGAAGCACATGAATCTGACCTTTGGAGAGTTTGTAAGTAAACCATTTTTTAAATTTACCAAATTTTTCGTCTTTTTCCATGCCAGGGGAAGAGGGAAACAAGGGCATATTTTAAAAGTCTAACAGACTATATTTCCATGCGGTGCTTTGCTGCATATTTTGTTATTTTAAATCTCTGCTAGGGTTCACTCAGCAAAGAGTGCTTGCTCTAAACCTCGATCTTGGCATCCAGATAATTCTCCTTTTATAGTTATTTTTTCCTTGCAACAAACAAGAGCTGCACTGCAATATT